GTGTGTGTGTGTGTGTGTGTGTGTGTGTGTGTGTGTGTGTATGTGTGTGTGTGCGTGTGTGTGTGTGTGCGTGTGGAGCAGCGAATGGGATAGCGGTGAACGAGGGAAGGGAGAAGGAACGGGATGGGCTGGAATGCAAGGCAGTGCATTCTTCCATGTCAGTATCTACATATCGCATCACCACAGTTCTAAGTAGAGCATGATCACGAGCACACACAGTAGTGAATTGGCATAGGGCAAGGCCGATGCACACAATTGCAGATTTTCCATCTGGAGTCGCTGCCGGTTGATGAATTTGGGACATGAATATGGGCCCGCACACCGCATTGCTGTTTACTTGTACTCCGACACTACGAGTGATTTTTAAATGGCAGGTGTAGCAGATGAGACTCGAGGAATTTCAAACAGCCCAGAAACACGCCGCTGGTACGCCAATATAAGTTCGTTTAGCAGCAGCAAGCCCGCGGGCTGTTAGCTATGCAAGCAGGAGAAAAAGGAGGCACCTTTATGCCCTCGAAAACTGATTTAAAAACAATTATTGTTGGGAAGACAGCTCTGCGCAGTCTGTGAGAAGATGTAATGTGCATGCCGGCGCTCGTGGGCGATGAGCGGGGAGATGAGGCGTGCACGCGCGTGTAGACGACTGCTCCGCGTATATGAGGAAGAGATATGGTGCGCGCGCGCACACGCGCGTGCACACACGTGCACATACACCAGCACGCACACACACGCACTCACGTGCACACACGCAGATGCACATGCACACACATGCACGCGCACACACACATGTACAGTACTTGACGATCGGCTCCGTAGATGGAGAGGAATCATAACCCTCTTTAACCCGCAAGAACTAACAGACAATCGTACGGAGAATGGCACATAATTCACGTGCATACATGACGTGCAAGGATTCTTCGCCATCTGATTGAAACTACGCACGCACACACGCTAGCGGGCATCCCACTCTCCGACTACGTACCTACCATACACAGGGTAGTGTATCGCACACCTGTAACCTCTACCACCACCTGACGCTGCCGAGATGTCACGATGCTCTTGCCGTTGAAAGAATTGCGTCTTTACATCACAATTTTCGCAATTAACTCGCCATTCAGGTGCTCTCATGATAACGAGTTCAGGAGCTGCGCAATCGATCTGTCATTTGCAGCATAATTCACGGGCCGACATTTGAAGGGTGCGTCTGTATAAAGACAACACGTGTGCGCGTGCGATCGTGTCATCTTCCACACACTCAAGTATATACTCCCAGCGCAGAAAAAAATGGTTTTAGAAAATGAAACAAACTCGACATGGGCGATTCACGGCAAATTCGAGAACATTTGAGAGTATCAAGAGTTGCCCCGTCACAGCAGAAGCTGGTGTTACTTGCATGACTCCGTCGCACAAACCGGTTAGCTAGCTCTGGCGTGGTCGACACGCGCAATCAATGTGTGCTGCCGTACTCAGCCGCCGGCCGCTATCAGCACGCAGCATCTCTGGCGAGCGCATCTGTAGGTAAAACAACGTCGCCTCAATGCTAGCTGGTACGCACGTACCACAGCCTTGCATCGATGCGCCGCCGCCGAGCGCGCGCGCGTGCGTGCGTGCGTGCGTTCGTGCTTGCCTGCGTGCGTGTGCGTGCGTGTGCGTGCGTGTTATTTACGATGAGACCGCAATCATCGCGAAACCGACGTCGCACAAGAAATTACGATTTGAGTATGATTGAGAGAACGCGGTGGCATCCTTTTTAACGGGTAGAATGTAGGCCAGCAGCTGTAGACCGTCACCCCGTTGTTCCCTAGAGACCAGTGTGCACGCTGAACGAACGCACACCCAAGTATGCACCCATACTGACATACATACACAAATCAAATGCACGCGAGTCCCATACAGCCGCAGAGAGCACGTAAGCAATATTCAAGAATCAAGATACTCAAAGCATCTTGAACTAGACAGAGGGCACTCACGGAGAGTGCATACCTCCGCCAGCGACATAGCTCGTAGCAGCCGCTCGTTGCTGCTGCTCGCTCACATGTACACGCTTGCTGGCTTGCTGCCCACTCGCTCGTAGCAGCCGCTCGTTGCTGCTGCTCGCTCACATGTACACGCTTGACTCGACGCGCTAATATCGATCGCGCCAACACACTAACACACTAACACTGACTGGCCTGCTGCTACCGCTCACATAACCGCTCGGTTACGAGACCGATCACATAACCTCCCCTCCAACTCCGTTGGGCGGAGGT